TAAGGCCTTCATGACAATATACAGTAGGCCTACAATAATGCTTTAAAATTCCTAGAAAGTCATAAGACTATACAGTACTTCAAAATTAATAAAAAGAAAATAAAAAAATAGTAAAAAAAAGATTATTTCATATTGTTCCCTTGATAGAAATCTTTGTACATTAACTGATTATTTGATTGATTAATTAATTAGTTCATTCTTTTGTCTGTCACTCATCTTTATCCATACATGTATTACTTTGTTGGTTACCTCTGTGGTTCTTTTACGAATGTATTCATTGGTCCATTCAGTGGTTCATTCAATCTTTTCTTTATTCCTTCAATCTTTCATTCAGTGGTTCATTCAGTCTTTTCTTTATTCCTTCAATCTTCCATTCAGTGGTTCATTCAGTCTTTTTTCTTTATTCCTTCAATCTTTCATACAGTGATTCATTCTGTCTTTTTTTTATTCCTTCAAATTCAATCTTTCATTCAGTGGTTCATTCAGTATTTTCTTTATTCCTTTAATCTTTCATTCAGTGGTTCATTCAGTCTTTTTTTATTCCTTTAATCTTTCATTCAGTCTTTTCTTTATTCTTTCAATTTTTGTTTCAGGGGTTCATTTAGTGGTTTATTCATTCCATCATTCCTTTTTCATTCAGTGGTTCATATTTTATTTGTTCATTTGTTTATTCATTTATTCATTGGTTCATTAGCTTATACATAGATTATTCCTGTTTTCTTACCTGAAATAAATCATGGATTACTCAACAAAATTTACCAAGAACCAAGCTACTGTATACACATTGATATGATGACTTTACATCATATATAATGGCACTATACAACACTTGCAGTACAATCTAATTATACATACTTTACCCAAGAACCCTGGATAATTAGCTTTGAGGAATTGAGCTTACAAATGACTCTTGAGGGAGTTGGCTAAATCTTGGGCCATAAACTGAATTTCTCCCCTGGTGTTTCGGATATGCTAAACAGGATCCAAGCTTGCTTTTGTTGTATTGCGTATCTTACGACCGATTCCCACAGGAGGCAAGTGTCAATAATATGCAATGTCTCATGAAATTAAACTGCTCTCCTTTCCAGGAGTTTTTATTTTTCGTGTCGTCTTCTTCACCATTGAATTCTCTACTCCCAGGGTTCTACTTGGATATTCGTCCAACTCACGAAGATCTGTTGTAATTTGTCATTGTTAAATAATTGCTTGATGCACAAATGTTTTTTTTTCATTCGATAATAGGTATTTATTTATTTATTCTTTAAAAAAATGATGTAGTTAGTATTTTTTAGTAGTTTCATGATAGAATTAACATTTTTTCAAATTAAATAACATAAATAAAATTAAAAAAAATTGAATTTCTGTATTATTATCATTAAAAAAAAACATTTTGCAACGAAACAAAAATTGATTGGTATGGGAAAAATAGTCGTATAGTATTTTTATTTTATTAATGTTTTTTTTAGGTGTAATATTTAAAAAGTATTTGCCAAAATTATAGTTTTTACTTTATTGTATTCTTGTAACATGTATGGGATTTGGCTGACTACTAGTCTGACTCTTCTCCTCTCCCTCCTTTTTTCCCTCCTCCTTAAATAACATAGAATAAATGTTACTCCGGTTAAAGAGAGGGAAGCCATGATTCAACATTTTGTCCTTTATTGAGTCATCTTCTCTATCCTACTGTTGTCTTTCCTTATTCTCTCATTGTGTTCCTCCTTTTTCTACTACTCCGTCTTCTTGTTCTTCTCTAATTTCTTTTCTCTTCCTTAATAATACATTACTACAGACTGATCAAGTACAGTATACTTTAGTCATAGATCGATATAAGTGGTCACCTGATCAACATCCTATAGTTTCACATCACCATCATTATTGTTCACCTGATCAACATATAGTGTTAGTTCATATAGTCAATTTAGGTCATTACTTCTAACGACAGTAATAGTTAGATCACAACTGAGTGTTAATTGGTTTTCAGTACACTGTATATTTCTCTGTTTAATACCCTGACCTTTCAGTTCCCTCTATACCCGTTTCCGATAGCTGTTTATGTTTATTCACTACATTTACTGAAAGTTCAAACTAGTAGTTACCCGACTTGTGCCAAATCCTGTTATAGATCTTCTTAAAATGTCTTTGTTGAACAAATTCGAGCTAATATAAATCAAAATTAAAAATGGTTACCTTTGTTATTTAATTAAAAAATTATAGTAAGAAAGACAATAGTTCATTATGGGCATTGATACAAATTGCTTAGATTTTTTTTTGTGGGCTGGGAGAGGGGTGGGGAGAGTTCTCAAAATATATTTTTGAAAGTTAATTTATTTGTCTGATTAGAAGTGATACACCTATTAAGTATTAAGCAATTTGATTTTATAAACTAAAACTTTATAATTTTTCCAGATTTAACATACGGTAGATATTTATCTTTTTCTTTGTTCTCATGAAAGAAATAAAAAATTCTTAGGTAATCAAGATAAAATTTTGCAGCAAAAAATAAACACTGGAATAAAATTGTTGAACAATAATTATTAGCATATCATGTGATCAGTTAATAGCCAATCAGGTAGTGATTAGCTCTGTTTACTTTTATGGCATATACTCTGTGTATACAGTATCTACCAATTAAAAAGCTATCCTCAGTCATGTCATATAATTTCATTCAATTTATCGTTAGATTATTCTAATATATCAGGCACCTAATTAATAACCGTTAGTCAAACCATGTAACCAATTAAATGCTGTTGGCTTTGCATGTGATATATCAGTCAATAACAATATTAGCCGTTCAACTTACGCGGTCAGTACACCGGTAGCTACTGGATCGATCTGTTCGGGTGTTACTGTATATTAGCTGGTCAAACTAATTTACTAAAGTGTGTGAGTTATCTTAGATCATTTCAGGGGTGAATCATGGCTCAATCGGTCAAATTTTGTTGCGTTTGCTAATCTCTTCACAATTAAATATCCTTTTTTTTTGCAGTAGGGTAACCCATTTTGTCAGAGAGGCTACTGGGTGTTGCCTAGAGGATTATTAATTTACAATCAAAACAATTTGATAAATTTTAGCATGGAAGAATATTTTAATCTTGAAATTTCTCCCTCTATGTGGCTTCTTCAATTCATTTAATTTTGATTTACCTGCTTTTGAATTTCACATTTTGCAACCTGGGGATCAAAATACATTTCATTTCATATCATTTATTTTTCTCAGAAACAATCAAACATGAATGTTGTGTGCAATCATATGTACATAAGTATTAAATATTGCTTTGAAGTTTTATCAAGATTACTGTTAATTTCATTGCTTATTATGTAAAATGGTAGAAAAGTCCTATTAAGTATACAATCTATTTTCTTCCCATGCACACAATGTTTTTCTGTTTTGGTCTTATTTGGGATTTTCCATATTTGTTATTTTTCTATATATCACTGTATTTTAAACTGTACTAGGTTTAATATGCATGCATCTCTCACTCTGTACGCTTGATCGTTTATTTTCAAAATGTCATTCTTGCCCGACAGCATGTCACTTGCTACTTACAGGATGGAATACACTCTGTAATGCTCTATAAACCAAAACCCTGTCCAAAAAAAAACAAAAAAAAAAAAACAATTGTATACCCATATGCAGTATAGTCATGATGTGCCTATATATGGTCATGATGTGATGTCATCATGACCATATTTAGGGTATACCCATATACAGTATAGTCATGATGTGCCTATATATGGTCATGATGTGATGTCATCATGACCATATTTAGGCATGTCATGTTTTTGTCAATACAATTTGATAGTCTGGACCAGTAATACTCTATTCATACTATATTAGGTTTCCTATGACAAATACATTAGTCCTGATGATGCAAGTCTTGTTGAGTTGGTTATAGCGAGAAAAAACAAGTTCTCGTAGTCTCCAAAACTCTGATTAGGGCAGTAGGCCTATAATAATAGAGGCAGTAGAGTAGACCTTTATTGGCCCTAATGGCTGCCCATACAAAAAATGATCTATTAATTCCATCAGCTACTATCAGCTAGAGTTCCTATATAGGAATTCTACAATCAGCCAGAGCCGTAGATAGCGAGAGTTTGGCCAACTTGGCGCATGGACGCCATGTCGTTACCAAACAGCCCAGACGCATGCGCGCGTATAGCTTTAATGTTTTGTTTTGGTGACAACGTGGCCGGTGTAAGTCATGTGATTGCGATCCATCCAATCACGCGCGTATATCCAATCCAAACTCTATCTACGGCTCTGCAATCAGCCAGCTCAGCCCGCCCTCATCAGAGCTAAAAAATGATCTATTAATCAATCAGCAAGCTCTGCCCGCCCTCATTGGAACTAAAAAAAAGCTCAAAGAAAGATCTATCAATCATCGGAGCTTAAAAAAAATATCTATTAATATTCAATCTTCTAGAGCTTATCGGAGCTAAAAACCTGCTATTGGCATGATTTGGACCTATAGCTCTGATAGTGGAAGAAGGAAATCAAGTTCATAAACCACAGATTTGTATTTAGCCCATTATAAGTATTTTCAAATATTGAATATGAAGCGTTATGAATTCACACCAAGGGGTGCTGCACAAGTGGAAATTCTGACGATGAAATAGCATTTTAGGAAGAAATTAATGAGGCAGTAAATTGACTCTATTAATTAATTAGATTCTAATTTCCTTCCTCGTCTTCTTTCCTCCCCTTGCACGTCATCAATTGGTCTATGTTGATCATAAATTCCCAAAACTATCAATGTTCATTGATTTTATTTGGTAAAATATGATTTAATAAAACAATTTAATAATACATTTCCAAGCAAATATTTATCACTTAGTAAACATATAATGGTACCACAAATTATGGTAATTAAAAATCCCTAAAGAATGTAATTAATTAAATATGATTACAATAGGGAAAAAATGTAATTGACTGATATCTCAAATCATAGACATACTGTATAACACCAGCATTTTAAGTAATACATTTGATTCATTTTCAGGCACATCCTGACTCGAACCCTTGAACACCCAACAAAGCAGAGAAAATTGTGGAGAGCTGCATCCACAGATTTTATGATATCACTCCACCAGTCAGCTCGTGTCAGAGTATACACGTTCTGCATGGCCAAGACGAGTAGGAAGCGTATTAACTTGACACACACGATCGTCTAGGCACTTGCATTCGGTGATTCTTAATTGACTCATGTGGAAACGAAACTTCTCAATGTTATGAGTATTGTGGTTTCAGTGTGCTGCCAGTTGCGTCAAAGTTGCAGTGGGAATTTTATGATTTATAGCTACATAGCTGACCTCTAACCTGGTGAGTTTTATGGATTTTTATCATTGATGTTATATGGATTAAATAATTATATTCTCATTCAGGTGAATATTATAATTTGAATATTTTTCTTATAATGTTACACAGGCAATTAAAATGGATTAAATTTCAAATTTTGAAAAGTTCCTTTATTCTGGAAATACTCTTCAAAAGCATTAAGTATTAGTCTCCAAATAGGTCCAGATTCAACAATGAAACAATCAAGCAACAACATAAATAAATACTGTAGATCTATAGTGATTCTCCTAGTTTTCGTTCTATTGTTATTTTATGGAATTCTGCAGAAATATAGTTTGTAATGTAGTTTATAATAGAAAAAAGGATAATAAAAAACTTGAAAAGTTTTGAATCATGGATTATTTTTTTAATTAGAACATTAATTTTAAACTTGATAATGAGGCACACTTCTGTAGTTAATATTTTATTGATTAAAGAATTTGTCTCATTAAAGTGATTATTATCCTCTTCAATCATTTATTTATCAATCATCTTTTCAAATAAGCAACTAAAAAATGTTCTGCATTGTAGATTATGTAGATTATAGAGACATATAAGGAGAAATAAAGTTTAACATTTTTTTTTTGCAAATAATTTTTTAAGGATGTTAAATTTTGAAACTGAAAAATATGACCAAAAGCAAAATGATTAAAAGTATTTTTCTTTTCTTCAAATATTCATGTACTACAAACATTTTAATAAATATTGTGCTTCATAAACTTTGATAAGGCCAAATAAAATAAATTGTTTGTTTGCCCTTCTTTTTAAAAAAAATGATAAATAGGGATGGGCGGAAAATATTTTTTTTTTAAATTTTTTTCCTTTTTAAAAAAAATACTCATCAGACTGAATAAAAATAACCCACAGAGGCCTAGAATGGCAATATCTTACTTCAGACAATAACTTTAGTCTAATTTGTATGTCATCTGGCAAAAAATAAAGATAAATTCACTCACATTTTTTTTTTTATTTGTAAAATAAAAAAAATTTTTTTTTGTTTTTCTGCCACTATTTTTTTCAGTGAGTTAGGGGGCTGATGGAGGAGGGCAAACAAAAAAAAATTTTTTTTGTCCTAAACACCATTATTATTAAAGTGCTGTATCATAGCTTAGTAGGCTAATATGGTGCTAGAGATCATTGTTAACCTTTGGTACCCAGTTCAATTCCATCAATATAAGGGAGTTTTTGATTGCATGATGACGGTAGGACATTGAACGTAATGACGTCAGTAAAAGTCATCTGCGCATGCGAGAACGTTAAGGTCAAATTGTCAAGTAGATTCTGGAACGCAATTTGGCCAAATCTACGTATACAGAGAATGTAGGACGCCAGGTAGGACGGTCACGCATGAGTGATTCCGACCTAGCGAAAGCTCCATAGTATTTTTCTGATTCAGCTGGATGGGCATGTACCAAAATGTGTACCTTCTTCTGATGAGACATTTGCCAAGTATGACCTATTAAAGAATGCAGTACACTCTATTGAAAGGTAGTCTATGTGTTCTCCCTACAGTAAGCACCAGAAAGGCTCCATTAGAAATAATTCTTCAGACTTTCGTGGATTGTTCTAGGTGTTCACGTCGAATAAATCAAATCCCAATAGAACCTACTGTAAAAGGGCTTAGACATAACCTCACCATGTGCTGTAAAAGATCAGAGGAGTGCTCCCTCTTTCACCCGTCCCACACCCCCCTCCCCCTCCCCGCCTCCCAAATGCAGTAGTAGTTAAGGTCATGAAAAAAGATAATACAATGAATGAACAAAGTAAATTACAGATGGAACAAATAATACCATAAATTTATTTGGCAGTTTGTTTAATTTTGTTGTTAATTGGTTCATTCAAAAGGCTAAGGATATGCTTAATCACTATTCAAAGTGGTATATCTTTATAAGACAAACATAAACACAAGATGCTCCACATAAACAAAGTCTCATTGTGAGGCGTAGGGACCTCCATGCTTAGGGAGTGGAGTTGTCTTGGTTGTGAGAAAAAAATCTGGTTACCATGACAGGAATTGAACCCAGGATCCTGGGATTGGTAGGCAAGTATCTTAATCACCAAGCTGTTCAACTGTACTCAAATTGGATGTCTAGATTGAATAAAAGGCTGAATCAATCTACTCACTATGATACAGTATGCTTCATAAGTAACAACAGGCAATATTTCAGACAAAGAAACCAATGATAAATATAATCAGAAAAATATAAAAAAATGATATTATAATCAGTTGTACAGTATATAGAGGGCACTATATAAGATTATTATTGATAATGAAAAAAGGGTTGTTACAGTTGAGCCATCTGTTCATTTCATTTCATTGATTTTACAATTCTTACATTACAATAAAGATAATAGTTCATGATTCTTTTTTTAAATATTTTTCTTTGTTGCTAAACACCAGAGTAAAACTGAGAAAATGGTACTCTCATTAACAATATCAAATGTACTGTAAAATAAGGTTATAGAAAATATAATTTACTTCCCCTTTCACTTTTGAGTGTATTAAATTTTTTTAAATATCTAAGTAATTGGCTTAATTTGCTTGTGTACACTAAAAAGAAAACAAAAATTACATTAAGAAAAAATAAAATCTTTCATTTGTATTGATTTTTAGTCTTTACACTCTTTAATTCAATTGATACTAAAATGCAGATGATAATAAAGGGATAGATAGGGGGGAAAAAAAGTAGATTAAGCAAAAACAAAGTCAGTGTTGATGAAATTTAAAAAAAATCAAAATTATGAAATGCAGTGGGCTAATGAAAAATTGTTTTCTAATATTCAAAAATCTGTATTTCAGTAAACCGCTTTCAAGTTTTTCATCAAATATGCTTTTTGTGTCTTAGAAAAATAATTTCTACAACATATCAGCCTGGCTTTAACATAGGTGTATAATTGCTGGATATTATTACAAACATAGTTTTTTTCATAGAATCATGTCAGTTTGTTACCATCATGTATACTTACGGTGGCTTGAATACAGTAACTCTGTCTGCACCTGATGAAGACAGCTAGCTGAGCCGGCTAAATTAGTGGTAGCCACGGTGTGTCTGCTGAACTGTGAGATCTCTTGGTTCCAAGTTCAATTCCCATAGCTGCTATTCTTGTGTTTCAGCTGGTTTCGAAAGTGCACCATCTTTCAAATGATATGTTTAAGCCATTGGTGAGGTCTCACTACAAAATGAGTCTCATCGTTAGAAAATCAAAAAATGAGATAATATTAGATTTTGGTAGATTTGGTATAAGCTTTAATTTGGTCTTTGAATGGCTTCCCTAGGATAAATAGATCCAGAGATGTTAGCATTTAAAGTTTAGGTGTAGTGTATGAGAACCAGGTTTGAGAAAATCGGCCTCGAAGATAAACTAACCTGTACAAATAATAGGACTAGAATTACAGAATATGTGAAGAGAACACTGTTTTAGTAAGAAAATTCACTTAAAAAGTACACAATCATAAAATATAAGTATCAAGATATTCAAAAGTATTAAAATCAAAATTTTGTAAAAATGTTGCCTTTGACCTATTTTGGTGAATATCTCAGAGTATGATTTCACCAACGATGCGTCTCATTTCGTGGTGAGATCTCACATTGGTTCTGTGTGCAAAATGGCCCAAGTTTATGTTAAAGAATGCAGTACACTCTTTGGAAAAGAGTCAGTTATTATGTAATTGCGATTCGCAAGCCTTCAACATAATAATTTAACAAGGTGCATATAAATATAAATTACAATGTATTATACTATACTGTATAATTTAGTTAAGTTTCATTTAGTAAATACTACTCCACTGTGTTCCCCCGAAGCTGTTTTAGCTGTCAATTTTACCTGTAAAAATAACTGGCCAACCAGTAACAATTTTGAGATTGTAAAATAATAAAAACCACTGATTAGGCCTAGGTACAGTAGTCTAGGCTGGCCTTCTTTCAATAAATGAACGTCATTCCAGTCTGTACCTAGGTTATGAATATATGTGTTGTTTTTTAAAGTCATAACCCCACTCAAAAGGGATAACCTAAACTTAAATAACATGAAATACTAAGAACAAACTTAACTTTTAAATTTGAAATCTTGTGTTGGTTTTTTTTAAACATACTATGAGGGTATGCTGAATATCATAGTAGTAATTAAAATAAACAATAATCATTCCATTTCAAATTAATCTTTAAAAACTCCTAACATTCTCTTTGGCCAAATTGCATCCTAGAATCCACACAACGAGGAGAACTTAATGCTCTTTCATGCGCAGATGACTTCTTGGTGACTTCATTACACTCTACATCCTACTGCGTCATGTAATCAAAAGCCCCCTATTGAAAAATGTTCTTACTGTATGTTATGGAAAATAATATTTTTTTCTGTGAACATAATGTAAGCGGTTTGAGTTGAAACCTTTGTGATTTCTTCTTTTTTCCTCTCATGTGATTACTTCAATTCATTACAACCAAAATGTATTCATTCAACAAACTTGAACTCATCTATTCATGTGATAATGGAAAATGTATCTTGTTAATGAGATAGGGTATAGATCAGTATTACAGTACATCTGACCATCTGCTTCAACATTTTACAACTGAACTTTTCCTCAACTTCTGTGAATTAAACCTGTTTTTTATATTAAATTTGATGTTTTGCTGTTTCATATATTATTAGATTACCATTTTTCCTTGTAATTAATTTAATTCCATATTTTATTTGTTAGCTCTCTGTAGATATTAACAATTTATATTTCTTTTTCAAGAGATGCACAAAAAGCAGAACTTGATTTGTGTTTGAACAAAGAATTTAACTGACAATGTAATAAACAACAAAGAACATAAGAGTTAAAAGATTAGACCGTGCTATGACATGGGAGTTTCACTGTGTGACCCTGCACGCTCCGAAACGATAAGATCAGATTGTGGTTGATTAATCTCTGAAACATTTGATGCTGTTTTCTCTTTTTTTCTCCTTGTGTTTCAACTTTCAATAATAATAATATTAATAAT